TTTCCGTTCTTCAATGTTGGTTCACAACCAGTTGCGTGTACTGGTATATACGACTTTTAGGAGATACGAAGTCTGCCCCAGAAGTATGTTCCCTGTTCTGTAAAATCAACAATTTGTATGTTACAGACATACACTTTTGTACATGTCTACAGAACCGTGTGTTCTAACACAAGAACCAAGAACCGTTGATCATGCGCAGTGACCATATCCACTTCAGCCAGAGTACTTAGTGCAGCAGTTGTTTCGAGCACAAATTCTTCTTTGTCTTCAAATCGCCTCTCCCTTAGGCCTTTTTTATTTTGGAGAAGAAAATAAAGGGACAAACTTCTTTTGAGCAGAATTGTAACAGGTGATGAATTATAAGCCTATTCATGGGATCCAGAACTGGGAACAAAACCCAACAATCAACAGAATGGAGAGACCCAGGATCACCATGGCACCAGAAAGCTCGACGCAAGCGAAGTGCTTTGAAAGTGATGCACACAATGTTTTTTTTTTCAATCACAAAGATGTGATTTTGAACTGGCCGATTATCATTAGTCCAAGACAACGGTGACTATTTCAAGATGGTTCTTCTAACAAATCTGAGGCCAAGAATAAGAAGAAATCGGCCAGGTCTGTTTGATCAAGAAGTTGTCTCCCATCATGACAACGCGTCCGTGCACAATGAGTCACTGGTCTCCTGGACTCCTGGCAGTGGAAAATCATCCTTGAAGATCTCCGATAATTCCTCTCCATACGACTTTCATTTCTTCCCCTAAATCAATGACGGACCACAGGGGCAGCTATTGAAAGGCGAGGAAGAATTAATTGTGCTCGAAACAAATACTGCGCTAAGGACTCAGGCCGAAAAGGAATACCCACACACCATAACACACTCACATACTGGAGCATGCAGCGAAGGAGCAACGCAATATCTTTTGTCCAAGAAAGATGTCTTATCTTTGGGTTTTTCGCTAGGCTAGGGCTAGATTAACGGATTTTCCGCTAAATTACTCTCCGTATGAGAGCGAGGGGGATACTACCAACATGACATTTCTAACTAGGAATATTCGAAATAGAGGAGTGGATGGAAAGACTTGAACGCCGTATTGAGAACAGCAGTGTTCTTGTTTTTGTTTTAGTTTTCTGAGGTTCGAACAAAATACAATTTATATTTAGGGAATGGAAATTATGGAGATATGGAGAGTTAAAGTAATTGAAGAAAATTTTCTGTTATTAGCGCGATTGATATACCATCTCAAGTTACAAGGTGTACATACATACATGTCTCTGAATATGATTAAACCAGGGTCGATACTTGCTCTACTTGAAAAACTCCATTTCGTTTAGAATGTTGTACTTAGGCTCTGCTTTAATTTTTTATTTCAACGGTCTGTAAGTGCGTATGATGTGTGTGTATATGAATGTGTGAGTGTGTGTGTGTGTGTGTGTGTGTGTGTGTGTGTGTATGTGTGTATGTGTGTGGGTGTGTGATTGTGTGTGTGTGTTTGTGTGTGT